CCTACAGGAAGCCTTGGGTTTTAGGGACAACAATGGAAAGCTGAACACACCCGCGATTGAAATAAGTAAGAGACGGTTAGAGTATTGGTGGCAGAAAATTAGAGAGAAAGGACAAAAATAAATATTGGAAAAATAAAATATGGACAGTGTGCCGTAAATGGCAGAGAACTTAAGCTGAAAATTTACCTTTTTTCCATTAAGATAGAATTTATCGAAGTAGAGGCATTAGGCCAACATAAAAAAAAAAGGAAAAAAGATTTTTTTTTTTTTTTGTCGAGCCTGGTGGCATACTTGTCACCACCCCGTTATAAAGGGGACGCTCATAGCATCCATCCATCCATCCTGTAGCCACCTCTCGTTTAGTTCTTGTAGTGTTTACTAGATGGTGGTACTTGTAGCTGATGATGAAAAGATGCAAGATGTTATAAACTAGAAAGCGGTACTTGTAGTTGATGAAAGACGCGAGATCTTATAAAATAGGAATGATGTCACATATGGCGCGTGTCATTGGTTGAAGGCAATCGTTCGATTTAGTGCGGCGACGTACGCTAGGGGGAGCGTTGTAATAAAATCCGTTCGCTGTTGGCGCGCGCTCGGAGTCGCCGGATGGATAAGGCTGCACAGCGGAGAGAGCGCAAGGCGGCAGCAGCGCTCGCTCGCAGACAGAATCCCGATGTGCGAGCGCGCGAGGCAAGGGACATCGCAAGCCATCCATCGTCTAAGAACAAATAAAAGTTGATTTGTGTATATACACACACAGCGTTTCTCACGTCTTTACATGATGATCGACTGGGCGAATTACACGGAAGATTCACAGTTTACCGATGAATCCCTCCGGAGCTTCGCCCATTCATCATCATTCACCCCGTGAATATGCCGTAATTTTTTTCTTTCCTCTATGGTGAGACGTATGAAAGGAACGCCGCAACTGCTTTAATCATCTGTTTTAAACTGTTTTAAAATGGAGGCTGTGCGCGGCACGCAGCGCTGCAATATTCGGAAAACGTAATGGCCATGCATGGTCTATTCTAGAAATTGCCGAGCTTCTTTGAGGATGTAAAAAAAAAAAAGTGAGAGCCTGTGGACTGGCCTTTTAACTTGCGTTGTGCCGTACGCGCATTTGTATGCGCCGTTTCCCAATAAACGATCATAAGCTTCTCGGAAATAAACCGTTAGTGATGCGGAGCAATACGGTCTTTTGTCGCGGACCACTTGCTGCTTCATGGCGCTGCCCTTTTATTGGTGCTTTAATTGAACGCATTGCCTGTAGCGACTTAGATGTCGCGCTGCTAAGCAGTATTCTTTCCAAGTCGAAGAATTTCGCTTGTTCGATAGCGCTTGCGCTAAATATCTCGCGTCGGCGTCGCGCTTGTCGTTAACTGTCAATGAAAAGAAGAAAAAAACACGGAGGAGAGGATCAGAAACATGCACGCAGAAGAGGTGATGAAACGGGGGGCCGCTTTCTTTCACGAGCAAAGCCCCTTCTTCACCCGAATAGCACCGTTGACGCCGCCTCGCGCTCTTTGGCCCAGCTCCACGGTTTGCCGCCTCCACATTGGGTCCCCCCCCCCCCCCCATCTCCGCGCGTCCCTTCGCTTAGTTGTTGTTCGTTTGGCTCAGCCTTTTGTATTTCGTGCTTGCTTCGCTCGCTCTTCCAAGAGCTCGTGCAACACCCGTACAACGGTGTCCTCCGGCGTAAAAGTATACGCTCGCACACTAAGAGCCTCGGGTCTTTATTTTTGCGTTTGCGTGGAGGTCGAGGCGCGTGTCTTAGGTTCGCGCCCGCGGTCGGTCGACTCTTCAAAATGTTTTGGGACGGTAACACGGGGTAGAGGAAAGAAGGGTGATGGTTGGCGCGGCGTTTTCGGTGAAGGGGAAGAAGATGGAAGTGCCTGGCGCGGCATCAAGTTGCGAAGCAGGCGGAAAGCGATGTCAATGCTTTCTTCTACTTCGTCGCTTTCTTCGCCGGTCCATGAAAGAAAGGAAAAAAAAATACATTCTTTGACTCGATTGCAATGACACCTCATCGAATGCTTGGCCGCAGATTTTGGTGATTATGTTATTTCCTTGATGCGGGGGGGGGGGGGGGGGCGGTGGGCTTGGTTTTGTGGATTTAGCTGCCCTACTCCAAGAATAAATTGTTAATCATGACTTTTGATGATTACCCTTGAAGCGCATGAGGAGTTTTTTTTTTTATTTTTTGAAATAGTTCAAATGCAGAACCGAAACTAGCTCAGATAAGCCTCTATTGGCACGTACGTACTTTCAACTTTTCTTTATAAAACAATAATAATAAATTATGATTTTTTATTAATTTATTTTTAGAGGGAAGTAGTTGAGAGCATTTTTCGCGCCAATAGAGAACCCTACTTGAGCCTGCTTCGGTTCTGAAATTGCCCGATTTCGAAAGAAGCTCCTCATATACCGATTTTTTTTCTCGTTTTCCCCCCCTTTTTCTACCTTCGTGTCTTCTTATTCGTTTATAGCTATAGTCTCTTGTGTTGAGAAGCGTCACCAGGTGACCGTGCTGTCGCTTTTCGTGCGGCTTCGAATAAAGATCCACCAGATTCTTTGTCAAGGCACGGGATAGCAAGAATTAAAAAAGAAAGAAACGTGACCAGCGAGCTTTTCTCGGTCTCGTGCCAGAGGCATGTGGACACTGCGTTTTTTTTTTTCCTTTTTTCCTTTCGCATTCGGCCGAGTTCTGTCTAACAGCGCAGCGTTAGTTTCGCTCGAAGTGCTATCATGTATTCACCTTTTCATAAACTCCTCCCTGGGCGCCGCCATAGCCCTCTTTGGGCTGTGCAAATTGGCGCGTCCCCTCGAAAATGCACTGACAACGCTGCGCCTTTAGCCTTAATTGTACTCCCACGCACAGCCCATCATGGCGGTGTTTTTTTCCTCCCTGTGAAAAGGTGTATACCGCCAGCCAATGACACTGTACGCACGCCGGCGCGGACAAGCACGCGACTGTTGGCGACTTTCTGGTGCGTCACTTGCATGTTTACAATACGTGACCATTGTCATTGCGTTGCCTGTCGTAACGCACGTGCCAGAATGGGCGTTCCGGTTATTATTCGGTTCGCAAAGATGGTGTACGTTGCGGTCGCCCCTCTGTTACCGTCACATAACGGGAGCCCGCAAGAGGGCAGCGTACGACGCATGCGCAGTGGCGACTAAAGTTAACGCAAAACTTTGCTGCGCGCGTTGTTCTAAAACTCCGTTTAGCCACGCCGCTTATCGACATGTCCATGGAGAGTAGGTCGCAGGCGTAACCCGAAGTGGCGTTGTCCCTCTAGCGGTACCGCCCGTTTCTGCCGCAGGACGTCGCTCTCGAGTGCGCGCGACGCGCATAGGCGTACGCGGGTACCCGCACACGCTGGTACCCTCCCCTGAAACACCGACTGGTGGGGCACCAGTCGGTGTTTTCGGGGTAGGGGTGAAGTCGGACTAAATGTGCATTGAGTGGAGTACATAAGATGGTCATTGCGATAAAAATGTTCACGTTTGATTGCACGAGGCTAATTGCAGCAGTGCACTACATGCATAGCCACTGGCGTATCCAGGGGGGGGGGGGGTAAATCCCCCCCGAAAAATTTTCATGTTTATCTATGTACAACCACACTTATAAACACACCCAAAAACAGGCAAAAAGTGAATTCCTGGCTATGCTACTCGTGTATAGAACAGTACGGAGTATGCTGACCCCCTCTTCCCTTTCTCAGCTCGTTTGTCCTTTTTAGTTCTTGCAGCGGCACAACGGGAATTTCTATTCTCTTTTTCGTCGGGGAGGGGGGCGTTAGCTTGCCTTTATAAATTTGCCTGCATGCATGTATATATAAGCATATAAAATATGAAAATTCCTGGAAATGTCAACCTCTCCCCCCCCCCTTTTTTTTGCATCAGCCAAGCCAGTGATGTCCTGTAACTAATGCCTCTTTGTCCGTGCGCTGTCTGCCTTCAAGTTAGCATGCATGTGCCTCTTCCTCAATTTATTAGCATGCTCACACTAGTTGTTTCGAAACAAAGAATTTTACATTTTTTTATCCGTGCCCTTTCAGTTGCCAACAAGTTTTCAGACCAGCTATCTCCTTTTTCAGGCACACATTTTAACATCATGTACCCTCTTTACTTGTCTGCGTTGTCTGGTGCAGAACTTTTACTGCACAGAAGCATAAGCACTTGATCTGGTTATTTTGTGGATTGAACAGCAAGAGTGCAGAGAGAGACGGAAGTTAACAGAAGTGCCTTTATCAGACCAATTCCTGTCTCTTTTTTCTTCGTGGCGTTTGTACCCCAAAACACCTTCTCCTGCTTGTGTATGGTAGTGCATGGTGCTACCACATACACCATTCAGTCAGTTGAACAATTGTGGAACATTCTTGATTCCGCATCAACGTGGAGCCAGGCAAATTCAAGGTTGCTCGCAGCGTGAGCACAATGCCAAAAAAAAAAAAAAAAGAGAGAGAGAGAGAATGCTTAGTATCCACTAGCCAACTTCCTCTGAAGCCTCTAAATCCTCGCGTTCACAGTTCCAGTCATGCTCCTGTATCACTTTAATGCTTGTTTGGCTCATGGGAAAAACTGAAGTGGTTTTTTGGGCATATTGGTACGACATATTGAAGTGAAATTATGCGAAAGAAGAAAGTCCAGGCATATGTATGCTGTATGTGTCCTTCTCTGCATGGTCTTTTGTCTTTCATGCTGTTTATACCTAAATTAACAGCTTGGGAGTCTAGTGTCTAAAAGACAACCTCCTGTGACGCCGCTCTCTCCTTGTGCTCCATGATCTTGCCAGAAATCCTCCCACCAAGCTGTTTTTATTTTTTCATGGCTGTGCACCGAGAGTGTCCCGCAATACTCCCTCCTAAGACTTCTTTTTTCCCTCCATGCGCCCCGTGCCGGGGGAGCTGTGCTTTTTGCTGGTGATAATGATAGCTTTATTATGTACCACACACGACATTTTTCAAGCGAGTATGTTTCTCTGGTTGTGTGTGCAGGGTCCTAAATGGCGTCCTCTGGGCTGGTGAAGCAGGAGGACGAGCCGTACGAGCTGACCATGTACTCGTCCTCGTCCTCGCTGTCACCGGGCGATGCGGCTCCCCGCAAGCTGCAGTGCCACTCGCCTAGCCTGTCGCCACCGCTGAGCCCCCGCGAGTTCTCCTGCTCCTCCACCACCAGCATCAAGCACCAGGCGCCATCCTCCCCACCAGTTACGAGCCACGGCTCTAGTGAGTATGACTCGTTTGCACCATAAGAGTTTCCTCAAATTGACTAAAGGAGACTCTGGTGCTGTGATTGTTCGGCCACCATGGAAAGGATGGATGGTACACTCATAGAGTTTTTTTTTCCTATGGCAACCAGCTTCTTCAACTGCTTCTTTCTTCCAAGCAGGCGGCGGCCACTCTACGCGGGGCTCGTCGGGGCACCACCACAACAACAGCAACCACCACAGTGGCGGCGGCGGAGGCGGAGGCAACTCGCCGCGGCGGCTCTGTCTCGTCTGCGGGGATGTGGCATCAGGCTACCACTACGGGGTGGCCTCGTGTGAGGCCTGCAAGGCGTTTTTCAAGCGGACCATCCAGGGTAAGTGGAGTGACAGAACAGATCGGGAGTTTATCTTGTTCTAATGCTCTGCCCACCACCGGTGGATAGCCGCTTTCATCAATTTTGTTGTTAAACAGGAGTGATGAGATAAATTGATGTGGTGTTATGTGAAACTAGATGCACGTATAGTATTGTGGTGCAGTGGGCTTCAGTACAGCGCCAAAGCAACTGCACAGCACAGTTGCTTTCGTCTTGAGACACTTTATCGAGAACTACAGATATTACAAGTTTTATTATTATTATTAGTAGTAGTAGTAGTAGCAGTAGTACTTATATTATTAATGATATTACTATTATTTGAGTACACCGACAGAAAACATCAATGGTCAGAGAGCACCAAGACTACTGCATGCTACAACTTCGGAATGCGTGACTTTGTTAAAGGGGCCATGACAATAAATTTTAGATCATAATCCCTGTTATGTGGGTCAATTATTTTCCATTCGCAAATAAGCTGGTGAAACTTCAGCACATTTTATCAAGCACTTAATTTATAACTGAACGTCTTTATAAACACACAGGTGGCCTGAGAGTTTGGCAGCACTGGCACACTTGCAAGCCGTGTCGTGACAAGCAGCTTGCTGTGCGAGCGTCTGCTTTCCAGCCAACAATATTTTTTGGGGGTCAGCCACACGTGAAATCGAAATATTGTTGGCTTTCTTGAGCTTGCCACTGAAATCGGAGGATTTACAGTGGCTGACTCTCTAGTAGAAGACGATGGCTTGTCTCCGCATAGTGCATAACGTCCCAGAATGCCATGGCAAAATGGAAGTTGCTGGCATCAGGTGTTTAGATAGCCGGCAGCTTCTAGGGCCTGTTTTGAATTGGAATATCATTTTTTTAGAGCCCACTTTTCATATAGATAGACATTATGAAAGGCCCGCTACTTCCATTTTTTGCTGAAAACCACCAATTCTTGGGTGACCTTCTCGTGTTCCTTTAGTATGTTTTGCATAACTGTCCTACGTGCTATTACAGCGGCAGTTTATAGACGTTCTTGCGTCTAGATATTCAACATCAGTGCGTCAAATGATATTCAACATACGCACAGATGAGCTATCGGCGCGCAGTATGCTATGCTTTGCACGGTAGTGCAAGCGACGCACTGTGGCCACTGTTTTCACAATCATGAGGCAATAATTTATCTATGAAGAGAGGGTTGTTTTATGCAGTGCAGATTTTGTCATGCGAATGTCGCTCAGCACTGCAGACGGACGACAGTGTAAGAAAAGGGTTGTTTTAATTTGTTGTTGCGCGGGGGAAACATACGAAATGGCTGGATCGGGGCCAGAGTCGTGTGCATTCCGTTTTTCTCTCGGGAGCGGCTGGCCTTGGCTCGTGTCACGGCTCGTCTCCCATGCGAAGCTGTGGTGCCTTGCTAATCTTGCACGCATCTTGGCACCTGCTCTGCCTGTCTGAGCATGAAGCCTACAGCGGTGATTTACGGTGGTAAACAGAGTCTGTGGTGGGATTTTTTGGTTGTGTGGCTTGTGTATTTCTGGTGTCTGTTTTACGTGCATAATTGCTGATTTTTGTGTGGTTACTCAAGCAATAGTGTTCATAGTAGCCACTTTAAACTTTAAGGTGGCTACTATGAATGCTATGTGCACAGTGGGTTGGTTTGGTTAACATTTTCAGCTTCCAACTATAGCAGCAAGTTTGAGAACTCTTCATGAACCAAGGGATCCCAAATTTGAGGGTATATCTTGATATTTTTGACACCACAGTTGCGTTTCGGCTCGGACCAAAATTTCATGAAAGTTTGGTCTTCACTTTTTGTGCTGCGCAATAGTATGCAGTATGCAAAACCGGGTGCAGCCTAACATTATTGTAACGAAGTCGATTGGACGTGAAAATAGCTTCATTATATAGGGGAATTAGTTATAAATCTATAAACGTTACACTGTGTAAATGGTGGGCCTGCTCATTTAACCCATCACAACTGGTAATTCATTAAACTGATTATTTGTTTGCCCTTGTTTGTTATATTTAGGTTTAACTGAAGTGCGTGTACATATTACGTAAACTTTATACCGTATCAGGTTTAAAACATATTACGTAAACCATATGCTACATATTACGTCGCGCCACATACCAGGCTGTGCTTGGTACTTTGTAATACACTAAAGACTCATTATAAAAGTCACATCTGGCATAACAATAAATGTTATATCGAAAAACTCATCACAAGCATTTATTTGTAGCACTATTTATGAAAAGAGCATTTTTTCATTTGCTTTGTTATAATTGATAATTAGTTATGTCCGAGTTTGTCATATTGAGGTTTGGGTGTACCTTGGTACCATGCGCAATGTAGTGAGGCAAGCTTTGTAGTATTTCCCAATTATGTGTTATTGTTGTTTCGTGAAAAGTGACTTCACTTTCTCATCAATCTTGCCCTGCTCCTTCCTGCAGGCAACATCGAGTACACATGTCCCGCGTCAAGCGACTGCGAGATCAACAAGCGACGGCGCAAGGCATGCCAAGCTTGCCGGTTTCAGAAGTGCCTCAAGATGGGCATGCTCAAGGAAGGTGGGTGGGGACTCTCTTATATTGAAGGTCGCACTTGTCCGTATGCACATTAAGGCAGTAACGTAGGCTTCCCGCGTGGACGTATTCATTCCCAAGTCTCGCCTCCGGTTTTTCTCACTGTTCGTTCACATTTGAAGTTTTCACCTGAGTCGAGTTTTCCTAAAGTCACTTGGTGAAAAACCCTTTCGCAGCCACTCTCGAGTATGCTCGTTGCTGTGCTTCCCACACGCTCCTGGTTTTGCAGATGATGTGACATTGTTGAAATGGAATGTCGCTGGATTCAACGGGCCGACAAGAGTATCGGTCGTCATCAGTTGCCGCCCTGTGCGTGACAGGACACAGAGGGGTCATTGCGCTCGCCGCACTTTAAAAGAAATATCCAAGAGTGTCGGGTTCTGCATCGTTAACTCTTGCAGCTTGTTGCTGAAACGTAAATACATAACAACTGTGATAATTCACGCTTATCCTGGGTATACCTATGCGTCCTTCATTGCGCTTCGGTGGGATGTTGCAAGTGTCGAGCAGCTCGTTAATCTTCACGTGAAATTCCAATTTCTCGCTATCGCATTCATTGCTTCACCCTCGCGGGGAAACTCTGGCTTCTTTTTAACGTTTAACTTAAAAATGTTTTTTCACATTTTAAAAAATGCTGGCTGAAAGGTTGCTTCTTGTCTGAAAGGAAAAAAAAAGCCTGGTATGCTTCTTAGCCTCCGAGCCCTGCTGACATTTGCTGTACTGCAATAACTTGAGGTAAGCTCTGATGTTGTCGCGTGGCCAAGCAGGTGCTTTCTACGAAGTGTGATTTCGGCACCGTGCCTTTCATTGTTATTGGCGGCAGGGGTGTCCGAGAGGCACCGCCTGACATTGTATTGTACATTGTGTGAAAGACGAGTGGACCTTGAGTCGTATTCAGCTTGGTTCATACATAGCATCTACTCTCGCAGATGCTCTTTTTTTTTCTGACTGCGAAGGCAAAAAGTTACCGAACCAAAATGCTTATGTGAAGTACTGCGATGGACATGTAGCAAAACCAATCTTGTCTTTTATTTTCTAATATTATAATGTGAGAAAGTGGAAGCGTTCATATAAAGCCAAGAAAGGCACAGCAGTTACTATTTTAGAACAGGTATTTTTAAAGAATATAGCATCATTAGGTGATGCTATTTTACGTTGAGGTAACAATAGAGATCAAATGGGCATAGTCGGAATTCAGCTATTATTAGGGGAAAAGCAAGGATATTCAGCATTCTAGCTGACATGAAAGTGGACCTGGGCAGCTTAGGTAAGGCACGAAGCAAAACCGTCAGTCATAGCTATGGAGCAAATACAAAGAAATTGGAAACATAGCCAAGGACGGCGAAGGGTCTGGCGGAGCAACGAAATGAAGAAGTTGTTTGGCACTAAATAACACCAGCTCACACAAGTAGAATAAGTTGAAGGTAATTTCGAAAGGCAATGGAGTTTCATACAGTGAAGCCTAGTGGGGAATCTGTGCTGCAGTCGTTCAAGTATACCATGGTAATAACGGGATGTACGGGCTCTAATTGAATTGCGTTATCTGTCAGTGATTTTTTTTTCCCTACAGTTTTACTCTAATTCTATGTCCAATAGCTCTGTTCTGCTGCAATAATGTGCCGACAAAAGTACCTTTTTCAGTGTGTGTACTGGGGTGCAGCCCAAATCACTCAAGCAGTGCCTTTGTAGTTGAAACCGACCAAAGCACACTAGGTCTCTTCGTTGCAGATGCAGTTGCTACTTTACATGTTTAATTTGACAGTTTTAGCAGAGCGTCGTCTCTGCACAGAGCAGCCCATACCAGTGGCACGTTTGTTTGATAAGCACATCTTGCCAAGGCATGGCCAGCTTGGCTGCAAAATGATGCTGAAGTGGAGTGGACGTACAGTCATTCCTGTGATTTGCCTTTACAGCAACGCCAGAAATGTATTGCAGCCATTAAGATCACTCTCATTGACAGATGCACCTGGCAACACAGTAGACGATACATGTAGTGTTTCTCACTCAATACAATATTCTTATTTCCATGTATAGATGACGCATACTTTCAGTAGAAAAACAAGTTTGTTTTAAATGTTTAAAAAAGAATTCATTGTTTGGTAATGCAAAATCTGAAACACAACTACAAAGCAATGCATACTCTAGGGACTGAAATGAATCGAAACATGGAAACGCTCAAACACAGCAAGGAGCAAACACGGCAAGGAGCAAACACGGCAAGGAGCAAACGCGGCAAGGCACAAACACGGCAAGGTGCAAACAGCATGGGGGGAATGGGGAGGCCTCAACGGGAATAATGGAAGGGGAAGGCAATATAGAGTCAGCCAAGTGTTATCCGAAGATTCGATATTGCTCACATTTTATCTCGGTCTTATCGACATACCTTTTTTAATTTGCAAAACATAGAAGAACCCGAGCTTTCAAGCAGTTGAGAATGATGAATGACAAGACATATATAGGCTCTCTACTCGTCTATTTTGTCTTTGTCCACATCATGAATGCAGTCTTCATGTCAGAAAAAGTAAATCTCAGCATCTCAAAGACACTAACTCTGATGCCTCAACAGAACATGAGCCCCGCAGTGACCTAGAAAGAACTATCCCGTGTGCCTTTAAAAAAAGCTGTGCAGGAATTTGAAGTGTTTGTAAAAAATAGACTGCCTCCGGGGCCACAGAGCTGCCCCGTCAGAGATTTGCTAATACCCCAGGTCACAGACTTAGAAGCACCAGCTTGACCACATCGGGGCATTCAGAGACTGTGCCACCTTGAAAAGCAGCAGCAGTGGGAGAGCCTTGGGGGAGTTTGTACAAATATATAGTACCTTCCACGCGCGAGAGGTGGGAAAGGGTTAGCTCTGCGGCAGCTGCTACTGCCATTTGGAACGGGGCCGATGGGTCTTCAAAGCCTTTCCTCCACTCAATCCGGCTGCAGCGTGTGGCATCAGCTCAAGAAGGGGTCGTTGTGAAGGGTTTTGGCTCTCTTTGCAAAAATGACCTCGCTCACTCTCGTCTCCGAGGCTGCAAAGGGTTGGGGCTTGGCAGGGTGCCAGGGACCTGTTTTCGGTCGGTCGTTGGTTCCGCAAACAGAATGCCGACCGACCCGTACCTCTTTGTCGTGTGGGACCTCCTCGGCCGTGCATCTAACCGCTTGGCCGGGGGTGGTTTGGACAGCTCAGCTGCTGCGATGCGTCTCGCTCTCGTCTCCCGAGCTTTGCTTTTTTTTTTTTTTTGCTCATATTTTCCTTTTCTTACATTGTTGCTCGGAAGGCCTTGAGTTTCTGCGTGACCACTTTTCACGGTTTTGGCCTTGCCGCCTCTTGGGCAACTTTTAGTGCCCGTAGCCGTAGCAGGAGCAAAAGATGGCTGTTTTCATTCATGCATGCACTGAAACTATGGTTCAAATCACCGTGTTGAAGTTTCAAACTTTTTTTTTCTTCTTTTTCTGCACAATGCCTGTCTGCAAAGTGATGGAAGATTTTCGTAATTGTGTTTGCTTAAGGAACCCAGTATTTCATGAAAAATAAGTGGGGTAATAACAAGAAACGAAGTATTCAACAATGTCTTGCTACAGCATTAAATTCAGAGTCAAGAAAGTTCTGTAGACTCTCAATTGATTAAAATCTCTTTAACGGAACTGTTGTTTAAATGGAACAGCTGACTCTGATTTGATTGGTTTTGTACCTGAATTCTGCACTCCTGCTCATATTTCTGTAAGTGGAACTTCTGTTAAACGGAACACGTTTTTGGTCCCTTCAGGTAACGTTTAGCGATAGTCTACTGTATCTGCCCTTACCTTCTGGCAACCATGTTATTGCTGAGACATGAGAGCATGCTCACATTTTCAGCTGCTACGATTGACCGGTGCCGTGATGATTCATTTCTTTCTGTCTATCAATGGAAGTCGAAGAAGAAGTTTATGCAGGCTTACGGAGGCTTTTGCCCGGAAATGTAGCTTGGCGTGCAGACTTAATACCTGCTAGTATGTGAACAGCATGCATGCATCTTAAAACCCTTACTCTGATGAAAATTATCACAGAAGACTGTTGCAGATTCACTGTGTGTAGTATTGGGCCAGTTTATTGTGGCCATTGTTTTTTTTTTTTTTTTTTTTTTTTTTGTCGTTAGGGGTGTGAACCTTCTCGTTTTGCCCATTTTTTGCAGGGGTCCGGTTAGACAGGGTTCGTGGCGGCCGCCAGAAGTACCGGCGAAGCACGGAAGGCCCCTACCACGTCCAGGCTCTCGCCCCCAAAAAGGTCTCTCTCGAAGGTCAGTTGCGGTTCCTTGTGCAGTTTAAAGGAGCCTACCTAAATTCAGCAAGACATCTTTAAGTATGTACAGTTCATGAAGCAAAAGTTTGATTCTTACTGACGAATTTGAGTAGCTAAGCTTTACTGCAACAGTCGTGCCATGCAGCAAAGCAAAACACGAGCAGGAAAAACTGTTGTACTGGGTAGCATACTACCACAGGGACCGAGAAAAGCGGGACTGGCCAAGAGGTTTCAGCGTGCTGCTTAAATATGCCAACACTGTTTAGTAAGGACGTAAATGGCACAATGTTTTTAATCGTAGCAAATTCAACATTTTGTTACCATTTCTTTAGAACAATACGCCCATCCAATGTCATGTCTGTGGACATGCAAATTGCTACAATCACATGCATTCCTATGTTGAAACATGCCTTTGCCGATTGAGGTCCTACATTGGACTCACTTTTTTTCGATATGGGAGTTCTGATGTGCTGATGCCAAATCGGTCCATACGCTTCAGAAGTTTGTTTCCGCCACTCGTGTTTCTGCATTGCGGTGCTCCTGTTCTGATGTACGGTTTCAGCATTAGAGCCTTCATGTCTGTCATAACAGGTTGCTAATCTATCGAACCATTTTGCAATAGCTGGGTTTTATTGTGTGCTTGTATCGTGTGGTTGTACTTGCGATGATTGTGAAACTCCTTGGAGGTAAGACACAAAAGGAGCTGTTTACACCCTTGCACGTGAAAAAAGATATGCTGCACCTAAGGCGTACAATGCAATAACTGGTGCAGCGTACACTTTATAATCTTCAACTTAGTCCTTATTATAAAGACGGCTTGCTGTCAATGACGTACATTTGTGAAATTAGGGTAGTTATTGTACATTTTGCAGCGATAGCGTAGTGGTTAGAGTATCAGCCTCGCATGCAAATGGTCCATGGTTCAAATCCCAGTGTCGCGCAATTCTCCACTGGAATTAAAAAAAGGTGATCAGTGTGACAATGAAATTGCATTAAAAAGCCTGGGGTGCACTCCTTTACCAGAAGGATTGGCCACCTGGTGCAATATCTGGCTACTACCTCCCACATGGATACACCAATTAACACTCCGCCCTCAGTATCCAGCAGCTACGAAGCTTCTTTCCGAAGCGGCGGTCAGACCTGTGACACAATGGAGAGTGCTAAGAATCTCTGGGTCTGAACAGCTCGCCATTGGAATCTGAACTTGGCAACGTTTAACGCTAGAACCCTATCTAGTGAGGCAAGTCTAGCTGGGCTATTTGAGAAACAAAGGGTGTTAAATGGGATGCAATAGGGCTCACTGAGGTTAGGACAGATGAGGTCTATACAGTGCTACAGAATAGGCATGTCTTTTGCTATCGCGGCTTGGCTGAGAGAAGGGAACTGGGGGTGCGGCTCCTTATCCACGTAAGTATAGCTGGTAACGTAGAGGAATACTATAGCATTAATGAAAGGGTGGCAGGTATCGTAATTAAACTTAATAAGGAGATAGAAGATGAAGGTGGTACAGGCCTGTACGCCTACATCTAGTCTTGATTACGTATTACAGTCGATGACCGATTTTCTGCACCCTTAAGAGACCACAACATGTCCGTAAAATTGGGCAGCCGGGAAACATGAATGGACGCGGAAATGAATATTTTTTTACAGGTATTTTTCACAAACGGAGAGGGTCACGGCAGGAGTACAAGATTCTTGTTGCAATTCAGCAAATGCAGCATTTAAGGGACGCGAAAAGAACCGTTTATTAAAAAAAAAATCCAACGTGGCTGACACCACTTCATTGGTCAACACTCATGCCTTTTGAATAAAACAAGAAACAAACACAAAACATAAATGGAAGAAAAAGAAAGGAAATGGAGAGGAAATGGAGAGGAAAAGGGGAAGTAGGTAGACAGACAGGAATTAGGACAAGACCTTGGTTGTTAAGAGCATTATAATAAAAGCCAACATACTTTAGATCATGCTAATTAATACCTTATTAATTTGGACTCGCTAATTAGAATAATAATTTGTTGCACCAATAAGGATGATAATAATTGAAGCATTTGCTTACAGAGACTATGTTAATTAAGATCTCACAAATTGTATAGGCTGGCCACATGTTAGGGCAGCCTTACACAGCTTGTGCAAGCTGCACACGTTTCCCCCTCCGAAGTCTCATGAATTGCGGCTTTCAGCGGCCCCCACCACCCACCTTCTTCTTCTTCTTTTTTTTTTTTGTTTTTTTTGCTGCACATGCAGACAATGTGATAATCTCGGCGCTGGTGCACTGCGAGCCAGAGCCGCTGCTGGCAATGACCAACGGGTCGTCATCGCCTTCACTGGAAAGCCACTACACGACGGTCAGCGTGCTCAGCGAACTCGTGGACCGGGAACTTGTGGCCACAATCAGCTGGGCCAAGCAGATACCTGGTGAGGCTATCACTCATATTGTCCACCTTCTATCAAGTTGCATCTAATGTAAAATTTACTTTAAAAGAACACTAAATTAAAACAGTGACTCTGGTTAAATCTATAGGTAGCTCTCCGAAAACTCTAATGACTTTAATTTCACTGTCCAAGAGAAAATCAAGGTCAAAGTTTCGCTTCACAATTTTTCGCCGAAATCTTCACAGGCGATGCCATGGATTCCAATCTGTATTTTTCATATTTTGGCAGCATTCGCTCAATGAATTTTTTTCCAAACTTGAGGTGTTCAGTCGGTGTTTTTCTTTGAGGATAATGTACTGCATTTCTATTGATTAGGCATATGAGCCAGTAGATCCTGTCAGGAACGCTGTCATTGCGGTGCTCAAGGTGACATCATCAGCTGCATTTTCTTTCTTACCAACTGTCTTCTCTTGGGAAGCATGGTGTCTCCAGTATGAACTTGTAATTCACTAATATGCTAAATGTAGTTTTTTTCGGTAGCCTGTGTTTAATCCAATTTGACAGATATGAAGTAAGCAGGTATTCTCGGCGAACTCCTAAGCATCCTAATAGGAATAAGATCCAATCTTGGACTCTATAAAATGCCGAACTGTTCCAGCACGGAAAATTTATCACCATTAACGACTGGCTTTTGCGCAAAATGTCACAACACTTTGCCTCTCACTCTGACATTGGTACAAAACCTAAATAATATATAAACACTATGTTTGTGTGAATATTCAAATGCTTTGAATGCTTCACATATTCGAACAAATATTACAGTATTTGAATTCACTTTGATTCGAAGTTAAGTTATTGCAAACTTAAAAGATCAAAATGGACTGACTAGTGTATATTAGTTTGCATGTAATTCCTTGTAAATGTGGTTTCACTGCAGTGAAGGGGGGCGAAGCCGTGAAAACTTTTTGCCAGGAGAAACATTACCCATGCATCGATTTATCATCTTTTATGTTTAAGAGCTTGTTATACCAGCTTATATGTTCAAGGTATAGTAAATTTTAAAACTTGATGCATTTTACTGGTAAACTTCGATCTGATGAAAGTCAAGTTCTGTTACTATTCTGCTACTATTTTGCCGTCTGCGTAGATAAATCTTGTTCGACGATCGTCAAGCGAAATTCGGCGATTTTTCGCTGGCATAAACAACTCATCAGCCCCAGTCCTTGCCTTCTCTATCATCGTTTTTAACCCTATTGACAGTTGTTTCCACTTCTTTCGACCAAAAAATGGCATTTGCACAGGCATTGTTTCTATTGAAAAAGATATTGTTGAGGTTTGTTAGGTCATGATAAATATGCACATTTTTATGTGTAATATACGATGTATACCATTAGAATTCGCATCAAAACTATTTGACCAGAATCATTATTTACTTTGAACCTGAAATTTATTGGTTGCACAAGTCTAGTGATCACCACTATGTTTTTGCGGCTTGCACTACTGACACAGGTACCACTCAGGTTATTTGGCATTATCTTCGTATTATTTAAATTATTTTTCTGTCTTCAACAGTGGCCCCGCCGCGGTAATCTAGTGGCTAAGGTACTCGGCTGCTGACATGCAGGTCGCGGGATCGAATCCCGGCTGCGGCAGCTGAACTTTCGATGGAGGCGAAAATGTTGTAAGCTCGTGTGCTCAGATTTGAATGCATGTTAAAGAACCCCAGGTGCTTGAAATTTCCGGAGCCGTCCACTACGACGTCTCTCATAATCATATGGTGGTTTTGGGACGTTAAACCTCACAAATCAATGTCCTCAACAGTGTTCCACTGTTGACTGTTGAAGGTAGAAATCTAAATTAACAGTGTTCCACTCTGTGTGTGTTTAAGCTGAATGATACCCGTGTCTCCGGGTAAGCTTGACCGCAATTATACCCAACTGCAGTTAGCAGACGCAACCACAGTTACTGTAAGCCAGACAAGCACTGCCACACGTTTGCAGCATGGACAAATTTGTATGCATTTAAAGAACACAGTTTTAGCTTTAGTTAGGGCTGATGATAGTGGCATTAGTAGCAAATGGTTGCACAAATTTAAGAACTCAGCCTTTCTGTGCAAGAACGATTCTTTCCCAACCCAAAGCTACGTGTTCGAAATGACGCAGTAGTTATTAAGACACATAATGAAGGTGTAGGCCTAAATAAAATAGCAAGTCCTTCGTGGCAGTGCTTATACACGTAATTTAGACACGTAATCTTTCCAAATGTGTATCAACGCCTGCGTCGTCGCAACAGTCCAGTTGACTCACTTTTGGCTGGATATTTCACTGGGAGCCGAGCTGCTCGTTTACGACATGTGGGCTGCTATGTTGCCAGTTTATGGCACTAACAGGGGTTGCCTACTTCTGTTTACAAAAGCGGTCGTTAGCAGATTAACTAAAGTTAGAGTTGTCGTGTGACTAGGTACAACAGCTGTTAGAGTTAACGGCCGTCATACTTGACTGTGGTTAGACTATCCATGTGACAAGGGTATAAGCGCACTACTTCTCTCAATAGAGCTTGCTATGCTTATTACGGGTTGTTTCCAATGCTTATTGGTTAACAGTTTAACAACAAAAGCCATGTTAAGTTTTATTTGTTTTTATTTTTTTTATCTTCCCAACCACGGAACCAGGCTTCACCGACCTGACGCTCAATGACCAAATGCGCCTTTTACAAACCACTTGGGCCGAGATCCTCTCCCTGGCATTGGCCTACAGGTAAGATGGTAACAAAGCCACTCTGTTGCTATGTTAAAATCTAATAAACGATGTATGTATGCAAATAGTTAAGTTGCTTTCGATGACGGAACAATAGGGTAAAACAATTAAAAGTTCCATGCAAAGGGCACCTTTGCAGATATAGTCAAACCCCGCTACAACGAATACCGCTTTAACAAAATTTCCCCTACAACGATGCAATGCCAGGCTCATGTATTTAATACCGTGCGGTAAAGGCAATCTCAAACATTTTGATGCTTTGTCAGAACATGAAAATACCTCGATCAAGTCTAAAGCATACGTTGGCACCACCAGAAACCGCAGCTGTTTATTAAGTATGGGGGCCACCATTGCCTGGTAGCATGGCAATGAGATTTCCCTGCTTTTGCCACTGGCTTGCTTCTGAGCCACAGACAATCCAAAGCTGAAGCTCAGTCACTTAGTTCATAGTTTTTTACATGCAGAGGTGGGGTGCCATCACAGAACAATTCCTTTTCCAGTGCCAGTGCTCATGGCTCTTTGGACGTTTGGCCAGTGTGGTCATTGGTCAGAGTGATTGTTCGTCTGCGTTATCACCAAAATCAGCCAGCTGCGACTGGTAGTTGATAAGGATGGCAAAGAATAAGGCGTAAGTCACCGCTCCACGATACCACATGTTCATCTCGGCGTTGTCGAATACACTTTCACTGTGACAGCTGCTGGTGGTGCTAACATGTTAGTGCAACTGTTTGGTTCATTCACAAAAGCCATTGTGGTGGTTGTTTCAGCGTGCTTTTCACCATGGCATCACTATGCATGGGTGAGAATCGCGTCATGACGTTGCTGAGAAAGAAAAGTCGAGAATCATCAGCTACCCATTTCTAGCACAAGTTTGCAAAGCCAGCCGATATTAGTTTTCAGAAGGAAAGCTTGTCTGTCAAAGAAAAGCCTTTTCTTTGCTTCTTTTAACTGCAATGGTTTCTTAAAGGCTTCTTCAGGTTTTCTCTTAGCTTCCTCAAAAAATGAGCGTATACCATTATTTTGTTTTGGTAAGCCCTTTTCCTCCTTGCAGGTTTCTTTTGCAGGGCTGCCTTGCCGAAAATGTAAACATTAACTGTGTTTAAAGTTAGTACGGTGCCAGATAGCCTAAACGAATGCGTAGAATACAGCAGTTTCTTCTGTTATGGCAGTGTTCTCGCACAAATCGCACATGCACAGATTGGTGCCACTGCAAAAGCCTTCAAATGGTGGTAATGGTGATGCTTTCGCAGGTCATGCCACCTTAGCCCGCCCGTGCGGCTAATGTTTGCCTCGGACCTAATTATAGACGAGCGGCAAGCATCCGAGTGCCGTGCCGAAGAGCTCTTCCTGCACACTGCTCACCTGGTGAAGCGGCTCGAGGCTCTCACCATTTCGCGAGAGGAGTTTCTTGCCCTCAAAGCCCTGCTACTCACCAATGCAGGTCAGTAGGGGATTAGGGGGTCCCCGTTTGTGGTTGAATGGGTAAGTATTGAGTGGGTCCTTGTCTTTAGGTGAAGGGGTTGCTACTCAATGGGTCTCCGTTTTTAGGTTAATGAATTGGCAGTCAGTGCATCCAAATGGTGTCCAAATATTGGAGTGAATGTGTCCATTCTGGCTTTTGTGGATTGGGTTGTTGGGTAGTGAACAAGTGTTCATAGGGAAGTGGATCCGTAGTGAATGATCCCATCTGTGGTCAGATGGGTCAGTAGTGAATGGGTCTTTTTTTGTGGGCTGATGGATTGGTAACTAATTGGGTGTTTGTGAATAAGGGGGTTTTCGTGAAAGGGCTTCGTCGGATGTATGGGTTGGCAGCGAATGGGCCCCTGTCCATGATAAGTGGGATAGTAGTGAATGGGTCTCTGTTCATGGGAAGTGAATTCAGATGGGTCAGTAGTGAATGGGTCCTTCTTTGTGGGTTGATGAATTAGCAGTCAGCTGGTTGTTTGTGAATAAGTGGGTTGACAGTGAAAGGGCTTTGTGTCGGGTGTGCGGGTTGGCAGCAAGTGGGTTCCTGTCTATGGATAATTGTGTTAGTAGTGAATGGGTGCCCATTTGTGGACAAATCGGTCAGTGGTCAGTGGGTCCCCATCTAAGGGTACTCAGATCTCATTTTAACAAAGGTGCATCTTACAGTAAAATATATTTTTATATCCAAAAATTTGTTAAAAGGTATATTCCCAACACTATATCTATTGCAGGGCTATTCTTAATTTACTTCGTTATAACCGATATTTCGTTATATCTAGGTTCGTTATTAGGAGGTTCGAGCCAGTATTCAATGGGCCCCTATTTGGGTAAATAGGTTGGTAGTCAGTGAGTCCATATATGGAAACGAATGATTGTTTCTCTGCTTATGAGTAGGTGGGTCGGTACTTCGGAAGCTCTCCTTGTATAAGTAAGTGGGTCAGTACTGAATGGGGCTTCGATTCATGAGTAAATGGGTTGGTAGTGAATGAGTCCCTGTCTGTGGACAAATTAGATAGGAGTGAATAGTACTATTCATGACTGGGTCGGTGTATGATGGGCATCAGTTTATGGTTTAAGATATCGGCAGTGGTTTACTCATACAATTTATACAGTCCCTGATAGTGTAATGATGTAGCCCCTTCCCTCCATGTTTTTATGAATGCTTTCTTCAAGTTAAGTGACACAAAAGAAAAAAAATCACAGTTTGGGCACAAGGCCATAGCTATGATCGATCTGCATGTTTATTAACTTTCACTTTAGACGGCCAAACTGAACTCACTGCCTTAGATGAGTTGTGGGGATGCTTGCGCCATTAAAACATCGCACAGCTTCATTGTTGCAACAGTGTACATCTCATCAGGAACCTCGCGACTGATGTCTTGAACTTTTTTGCGGCACAACTTTCGTGTGGTGAGCCTGCAGGATGTGTCGGTGATAGTCGCTTGGGACTTCAATATTGATATACTTCAACTTGAAAACCAGTGGCTTGTCGCATTTCTTGATGCCAAACTTGGACCTCGCCTCCTGTATAACATCACACAGCCAACTATACGGAACAGCAACTGTTCAGATGTTGCGGTTACTGCATTACTGTCAGTTGAAGCACAAACGACTGTGCTCACTACATTTTGCATGTTTCCTAAATCTTCTAGCCTTGCTTCGTATAACAGTCCGACGTGTTGCTATCGCGTTTATTGCTTCGGCCTTGGGCCAAAACTGTGACTTTTTTTTCAAATAGAGGGTCTGGACGGCTCTATAAGGAGCGCAGGAATTGTTTGTCGAAAAAGAGGGTCTGCGTGACGCGATAAATTGGCAAGCTTGTTTCGGGGATGCAAAGAAGAAAAAACAAAACATGTTTGATCCCTCCATCATAGGAATAGGTAAAACATAACAATGAAACGTGTCCTTACAGTAGTTTAACGCTTATTGTTCATTAATGTAAGAGACCTTGCACAATGTCTATTTGTGTTTGACAGCTATGGATACTTGGATGCATCCACATTAACACTTGGTCGTACATGTCCATCTCGATGACTAACATTCATCAATAAAAATTAAACAAACTCTTTTTGTCACGGGTGAGTGCGGAACCAGAGAAAGTGATGTGACAGCCAGAAGAACAGGACTGATTGGACGTTGAAGTTGGACTATTACCGCCTACTTACGGCATGTCGGAATTACTGAACACCATTACCTGACCAGCGGGAAGCGCAATGTGCATTTTGTCTTGTCTGTTGGCTGGCCATTATTTTTCATGGGGTGAGCGTAAGCGGCGAGCGCGGGGTTAGTACGTCTAGAAGAAGCAGGAGCGTTGCTCTTTGCATTGCAGATCTATTTCTTTTGGTATGGAAGAATGCTATGAGCGACACCAACACTGTGTAAGATCGTCACCTGGGGGTGTGTTTGGCGAAATTGCCAATTCCTCCTATTAGAAACATGCCGTATGAGACGGACGCCTAGAAGTGATGCATTGAAGGAATTAATCACGCATGCCACGGTCGTGATGCATTACTGCATTTTACCAAGAACACTGAGAGGACTATGGTAGATATAAAAGGCGTATTTTTTTTAGGAATCAAAGTACGTGGCCATGGCACAGTGGATAGCGTGCCCCGCATCTGTTGTTGCTGACCCAGAAGTCGCGGGCTCTGCTCTCGATTACGCAACTTTTGTCTTTGTGTTCTGATCATGCGTATTTTTTTGACGTCATTTCCGTGATGGAAATACGGTACATCACTGACGTCTTATTGGGCCCCAGCGTAAAACACTTTCGTGTTAAAAAAGTTGGAACATGTTTACTGGCCCTTTACGTGTACATAGATTTTTCGTGATGTCCATAAACAGACCTGCACAGTTTGATGTGGGCATTCTCTAAACTTTCTACTGCTCATGTCTTTTCATGCAGACATCCACCTCGAGGATGCGTCCTCAGTGCACAAGCTGCGCGACGCCGTCCTCCAGGGCCTGCACGACTGTGTGGCCGCGCAGCGCAGTTCTTCCACAGCCTCCTCATCCTCATCTGGGTCGGCCTCCTCGCCAACCTCAACGCCCGTCTCAACAACGACAAGCACGGCCAATGGCAATGGCGCGGCCGCACAGCAGCTTGCCTCCGCGACGGCGATAGCCTCCCACTCGAGTCAGCTGCTCATGTGCCTGCCCTTGCTGAGGCAGCTGGACACAGTGGTGCGCCGCTTCTGGAATGGTGTGCGCAGGGACGGCACGGTGCCCATGAACAAGCTGTTTGTTGAGATGTTAGAGTCCCACACGCTCACGCGGTGAGCGTGGTGAGAGCCACTTTGGTGGCTGGCGGGGGCTTTTGTCCGCGTTTCTCGGTGATGCTGTCATGCACAGTTACTTTTTTGGTTCCGTACAGTGTTGCGGAAACTAATCCTCTTCGCTGCTCTCCTCTGGCGAGGACTGTTGGGAGCTGGTGGGGAGTGGCCCATCCTGGCCGTGCACGCTGCCTCTCTAGTTTCGTGTACCAGTGCCGAAACATGGGCTTGCAACTTCATCCTTTCGGTGACGTTCTGAAGCAGCTTTACATGTGAATGAACTAGCAAGCCATAGTTGTACTTGCTTGAGTCGACTGTGTATTCTGCTGGTTCATGTTATCTCAAACTGGAGACAAGTTTGTCAAGAAGCAGTTTGGATGCACAGCTGCTTAGCTGTGACTTTCAGCCGGTGGAAGGCCCACTCCTGCAGCCATTTGTCTTCTGCACTACTGCACGGAATTGGAGCAGAAGCAGCCAGTGATTGTGGGGAAGTCTGGAGAGTTGTTGTAATGACTGAGGAAGTCGCTAGTCTACTGTAGCCAACTACCTATGGCTACTCAATGGCTGCTATGAGTCGCTGAGCTGTTGTCTTGATTGATGTGACGAACTGAAGGTAGGATTCGGCTTGCAGGCTGGGAAGAATCCTGCGTGTAGAGGTCTATTCCCACTGTCGAGGCATAGCCTAGAAGTTGGTAGTCGAGAGAATGCACGACTGAATTGACGTGGCTTGCCTGTTGGCTAGGTATTATATGATGACCGCAACAAGTCAGTAGAAGTTCATATCCAAGTGTGCTAGTTCACGAGACACTGTGTGGGCTGCTGTTTGGGCTGTGCAGGTTGAAATAGTAAGTTCGTTGTCTTGATGGTGAAGCTCCTAATTTCACTTTGTGGGTTCGTTACCAGGGGAATTCATAAAGCGGTAAGATGTAGTTCTAGGACAAGTCACAAACATCCACGATTGGACCGCACATTCACTCCTAGTCTTCATTATCATGCGGCTAGTCCTTATTTCGGGAAGCCATGTTATCGAAGCATCATTGTAGAAGGCATGAGATGAACGAGTTGAACATGACCCAAGACACTGCGAATTCGCATTGAGACTCTTGATTTTTTGTCTTGTGTGTTATTGCAGTTTTCATTTGTGTGTTCAAACAGACTTGCTGCATTTCCCATCTTGTTCATGATTACCGGTGTCTGCCTGCGAGCTGCCGGGGCTTGAGCATAGCAGCTTCCGCAACGCTGCCATGATTGGTGAACCTATGGGAATAAGGCTGTATTGTGAGCACTTAGTGCATTACATGCACTGGCATTTACTGTAGCAACATCATCGATTGAGAATTCAATCAGTCTTTAGCGGGGAGATTTGGGCAACTCCTGCTTTTTTTTGCAGGGAGCGTTGGTCGGTATTTTTTTTCTTTGCCTTGTTGTGTTTGGGGGCTGGGAACTTCGTTGTTTTAGGTGTGGAAAGCCTTGTTTTGTTGACTGTTAAATGTTGTCGAAAAAGAAAAAAAGTTGTTATGTGTTTGTAGTTGGACGTGTGGTGCCACGTGCTTGAAAACAGTGTGAGTGTGTGATTTGCGTGGAGGACTGCGACGAGGTGGAAAGGGAGGCAAGGTCAAGTCTTTAGCAAGAGGATCGCCGGCGTGCTGCATTGTGCGGAGTCATTCAAACTCAGTGAAGTTGGCTCCCCATTGTGCGGACTCAGTTGACCCAAGTGAAGTAGGCTCCCCATTGTGCAGAGCAATTGACCCAAGTGATGTTGACTCTCCATCATGTGGAGTCAATTGAACAGAGTGAAATCAACTCCCCATTGTGCGGATTCTGTTGGCCCAAGTGAAGTAGACTTCCCATTGTGCTGAGTATTGACCCAAGTGAGGTAGACTCCCCATTGTGCAGACTCGGTTGACCCAAGTGAAGTAGGCTCCCCATTGTGCGGAGGCAATTCAGCCAAGTGACGTTGACTCAAAATCGTGTGGAGTCAGTTGAACTGAGTAAAATTGACTTCCCATGTTGCAGAATCTGTTGACCCAAGTGAATTCGACTGCCCATTGTGCGGAGCCAATTGACCCAAGTGAAGTAGACTCCCCATTGTGCGGAGTCGTTCAAACAAAGTGAAGTTGACCTCATGGCGCGAATCCTTTGGAAGGGGTGTAGCATCTGTTCAACATCAGCAGCTCTGTAGTATTTTGCAGCAGTGAGCTGTCAACATGTGCACCTCGTATACAGCTGTCCATGTACGCCAGGGAGCAGCTTCGGCCACTTGTTGGTCCAGCCCTTGGTTGCTGTCTGGGCCCCCGCTCCGATTTCAGTTGCCGTGACGACCTCCCACAGTGTCAAAGGGCAGATAGCAGCTGTTGGGCCGGCTTGTGGTGATGCGAGAACATTCACGATTGATACTTAACAATATTGGTGGGCAACACATTGGGTCTTCTGCCGCGTATAATAAATAGTTGAGAAAAGAGGACAAGCCTGTTATAATTTTGAACCACGCATTTTCACAACACTATGTAGCAACATGACAGAGTAAGTGAAGGTGTTCAGACTATGGATAAAAAACCAACAAAAACAAAGGCTGACTGCTTCTATTCTATGTTTACAGGGGGCGTAATTGGATCATTTTGCTCAGGCGTTTTATTGGCCTCTGCTGTTTCCGTCTTCCTCTCGCATTGTCACAGTGATCTATGCAGCTTATGGCAGAATAAGTTAGATGCACAAGTAGTCTTAGTCTTAACGTGCACACGCCCAGAGCCTCTGTTGCCTCGGCCAAGTGGTGTTGAGAGACTGTTGGGATGGAACCGGTTTGAAAGCGACTGAAATCGAAGCATGGGGCCCTGCATAGCCCGCGGTTATGGTTGCTGACGGCATCCGGTGAACTGGACAGTTGGAGCCGCAGATGGCAATCGCGATCCATCGAGTGTCTGTATAACCCGCCGACGCCTAGAAGATGCCACCATGCCGTGCCACTACTCGTGTGGGCAAAGAGGTCTACGCACACTTCAATACGCACAGGAGAGTGTGATCGTGTTTGGACTGTCGGCTTCCCGCACAACGTACTAGAATGTGTCGCAACCTACCGTCGCGGAGCGCCTCGCGATGGACCTGTCTGCGTCGTACTGCGCGCATATCAGTTCCTTGCCCTTTCCCATCGTGCAGCTGACTGTGTGTTTTGCTTTTCTTCTAGCCACATTTCTGTTGTAATCCTGTCCTTGGTCCTTATTCTTGTTATTCTTGTTGACAGATATTTTGTTGTTTTCTGCTGTTGGCTGCCACACCTTGTTGTTTTTTGTGCATTTCTGCTCTCCTGCAGCGGCTTTTTGGCCGTTTTCAACAAACGTTCTGTCGCGGCGCACATTTCGCATCCCCCCGAGACCGTCACTTAGAAAAGAGCGCGCGAGAAAGGCGCGCCTCCCATTTCGTTGAGTGCCAATACATTACAGGCGTTCTTGTCGGAACTTTTGACTCCCGAGTATGTCTCTAAAGCCGAGTGGGAAAGGTGTTTCTTTTTCTGTCCCCCCCCCCCTTTTTTTTCTGCTTATTTCTGTTTATCGCTGCTCCTTGTTGCAATGCAATTGAGAGTCCCAGGATTGTGGTGAAGGTGAATGTTCTTGGTAGAGGAAAGGCGAGAGCCCCCCGATTGATACAGAGGCCTCGCGTTTTAGGTCTTCACATTTCACGTAGTTCGTGCTAGCTCATAGCGTTTTCTTTCACGTCATTCATTGCATTTCGTTGTTTGTTGCGGGCAAGTGAGGCGCTTTCCAAAGTGCGTACGTGACAGTGTTGGGGGTGCACTTGTGGGCACTCTGGGAAACATGTATACACACGCGCGTCTTCACCCATGTGTCATGCAACGGTTGACTGGCCACGACTGCCATTATTAGTTATTTCGTCTTAGGAGATTGGAGAAAAGACACGCTTTGTGAAAAGTCTTGCAAAGTACTAGATCTCGCTACTTTTTTTTGTATAGAGTGTTTATGAAAGGACATTTTCTGGCACTAGCAATCTCCATACACCTATATATTGGCACCCTGGACAACACTGTCTCTACGAGCCATGAAAAGTCGATTCTCGGTCTATGCGATTGGGCTGTTCATTTCCGTAAAACACGAACTGCATTCGCTTCGCGGCACCGATTGTTCCATTCTGTGGTGACCCTTATTGTCATGTGGAAGTTTCTCAGTGTCCTCAAGCTATTTGGAAATTAGGGGTGTAATGAGTACATGCTGAGAAAGGTATCTACAAACAGCAGCTTGAGTAGACTAGACTTATTCCATTTTGGAAAGGCTATGTTTGACCTGTTGCTACATCTGTGGCTGGCTTGCCGATTCGGTGTTGCAAGATTTTGCAACATTACAACTTGCACTGTGCGAGGTCACCACATTCATTTTGGTCGTGCTTTTTTTCTATTTCTTTTTTTTTTTACAGCTTTTCAAAGTTGAGACTGCTTTCTCAGGAAATACATGCATAACAAGACGGGTAAGGGGGATGTCAAAACTGGGACGATTCTCTGGAATCGGTAAAACTGTGGGTTTGAGTGCCATCACAAGGCATTACGTTGTCGTTCACCATTTTTTTTTCCTACTTAAAAGAAGTCTCCTATGAAGCTGAGTGCCGAAAAATGTAGCCCTGAAAATAATCTCCAACCTTGGCATATTTACAGACAACTCGACTATGAAGTTGTCATTATGAAACCTGATTGTGAGGTTTTTCTTTTTTCATTGTTTAAATGAAAGCATGTACTTGTTTCGGGAACGCTTAGCACTTCTTGGCCAGTAAATATTTCCTGGCGTGTTAATGAAAAACACTTTTTCAACAGTTGCCTCGTAAGTGTTGCTGCTAATTCAGTGGCGCACTCCATCGGACGTGTGCCCCTCTAGTTCAGGCCCACAAGAGATCTCCCGTAAACTTTTCAGCCCCGTGTGAGTTGTGGAAAGTACCTACAAAAACAAAGAAACTTCACCGATATCTTTCTTGTTTGCTTATATTTTTCAAAATGTCTTGGTATGGAGGCTTGAGCTCCACAACTTCAGGCCTAGGTTATTTAACCACTGCCAAGGGGGGATTTCACAGGCAAGCATCTTGGCTAGTGGGGCTGGTATTTTGTAACCCTGGCAAAAGGGCAGAGCAATATTATCAACCGCAGAGTACAAATAACCCTTGGGTGGTTTATTGCGGCCGGCGCCAGGCTACGTGTCCGCTGGCGTTTGGAATTTTCCCCAGAGTTGACATCAGGGATTTCTGCGCATATTTAAACAGGTTCGTCGTCGGTTATGGCATTGGCGTATGCGGCACACTTTTGTCACTTTGCGCGTCATCGTAACTGCTCTGTGCGTGCACTTTTCGTGTTGTTTTTCCATAGTACCGCACATTGCCGTTGCCTCATCTGTCTGAAAGGCCTGCATTGGGTGCAGGTCGGTGCATTGTGGTGGTTCCCGAAAGCATTTTGTTTTGACTGGTTGTTTTGGCCAATGGGCTGGCTGATTATCCTGCACTGATGTTTGCCTCATTTAGACCGAGTGTGGGATAACCCTGTTTGTTTCCATTGTAGTAGTAATTGCATATTGTGGTCCTCATGTTTACAGATGTATGGACATATAGGTAAAACCGCGTCGGTTAAACTTTCTCATATTAACAGCAGCACTGTATTTATTTTCTACTTGTCACTACACCATGGTATTCAAATGCAACATTCAGTTACTGGCAATTCCACTGGCCATTCCAAGCATGCTTCTCAAATACAGAGATGGAACTCTCAGATAGCACTCATCATGCGCAAATCGGCAATGTGTAAAAGACATAAGGCCTCATGCCATACTGAAACTTGTCTTGCGTAGCTTCAATCGCTCTAGGTGGATTAGAACTGCAGTTTTATTCCAAATAAAAAAGATAATTTTCTTGCAATTAAATCAGTGTAACATGCACTGAACGGAGCAGGCACATTCTTTGCCAGAAAAGCCACCAGACATGTTCCGGATTGGCCAGTAGAGTTCACCATCTGATGAGAGCACCGGTGGTATGAAAATCAGTGGGAGAAAAAAAATACCACGAAAATGTTTCTTTCGAAGTGTTCTGTATGCAGTTCACTGGGATTGGCGATAGCGCTGGTTTGATGGCATTGATGTTTTTACGAAGATTCCGGGCTAATTGAACTGCGCCT